GTGCTATTATGATCGAATACTGTAACTGATGAGAACGTATTAATTGTTTTGTACTAGTGATGTAGCTGAGTGTGTCGTTTGTGCATTTGTATGTACTGTCTGATAACATACCTGATTAAAAAAATTGTACATAATTATTATTTTTGGAAAAATAAAAATAGTGATGCATTATCTCATAAAAATGATTATATAGAATTTCTTGGGAACTATTATAAGTTCTTGTCTATAATAACTACACATTTTTCTTATAAAACTCTTATGTAGGAGATAAACCTTAAAAAATGTTTTTTTTTAAGGTATATACATGTATGTAGTAGGTAAAGGCTCAATGCTTTTTTCAGTTTTATTTGCTTTTTTTTCTGCATCATATCTCAGTAGTTAATTAAGATGACCTATACCTATATTTTAATTAGATTGATGTGGTAGGATGTAAATAATTACATATTACATAATACATCTACATCCATTACATACAACAAGAATACTCGCAAAAAGTTTTTTGAGTAGTTTAGTACACTTAGCTGTTTTAATCAAGATTCTTTGTTATACTTGAAATAAATAAAATTCTTCTATAAATCTTTCTAAACTTATTAAACATTTTTATAAGATTCTTATTTTTTTTATAAAAATCTTATAAGTTTCTTAAGGTTTCACAATCACTGGGTCAATGAAAAGGCCAAAAGCACTGAGACCGTGGAGATGTTTTCACATATCTCATGAGTCACTTACTTCAACTTGTTTGCGTGCAATAAAATTGACAACATTTACAAGGTAATTCAGTCTCACAAGCTGCATATAGGTAGTCTTGATTGTCTTCTCTCTTCTGAACCTTACTGATGTGGTATCCAAGGTAACATAATCCATGGCAACATGAGATAAGATGCTGTCTGTTTCAGTAACTTGTTCTCTTGGTATTGATTCAATAGTAGAGCCTGAAGGATACATAAAGTATATTGAAAATGAAATATGGATAATTTTGATTATTTTTCATTATATGTTTGATAAACCTATTTCTTGAATTTTGCAATATATTTTTATTTTATGCTCATAAAAACATATTTTCACACAAAACATGAAAATGGTGTTTTTTTTTTTAGACATTTACCATTGGTTTCTATGGGAAAAAAGTCCCACCATATTTTTAAATTTTGTTTGGTAAGGTTTGGTTAGATTTATTTCAGAAATTTTAAAAAATAATGTTTTTACATGGTTTCCTATTTTTAAAATTTAAAATAGTGCATTTTTAAAAATATAACCTGTATCAGGAAAAAAACAAGCAGCCTATTAGGTGATATAGTTTCACTGTATAGTTTTTTTAATGAAAATGATTAAAATATTCACTTAAATTAGAAACTTGAACTTATTGTCATAAAATGAACAAATCTGATAGAGGTCCCAAGGTGTCTATATAAAATACATATAAAATATCAAAGTAAAAAATAGCAATTTAAATGAAAAATATTCATCAACATTAGAGATTTGAACATATCCTCACAAAATGAACAAATCTGAGAGAGGTCCAGCCAAGGTACATAAGAAAAAAAAAATTATTTTTATTTTTGTTCCTGTATTTGTTTCCCATGACTATGTGTTATAATTTCAACAGCATACGTTATTGTACTTTTCAAGTCAACATCCTGAGACCAAGTATCATAGTATGCAAACTTGGCATTTCACAAACTTGTTAAAACTGTTGATGTCGTCATATGACAATGAACAATCAGCTCTGTCAACTAAGAAAACAGCAAAGCTAACAAAAAGTGGATGACACATGTCCAACACTCTTTTAAAAAAAAAATTATGATAATTTGTTTACCTCTATTTATTAGATGGAATACACGAGATTAACTAGTAAGAAACAAAGTTGTGTACATACCTCTTTGTGTTTGTAAAGCTGGTGGCAGTGTCGGACTGACCCAAATTTTGGGAGAAGATTTCTGATCAGTCATAAATGACTGTACTGAGTCTGTTAAATTCAATCTTCTTCTGGCACCCTTCCATGATTTGATAGATGGGAACAATGGTGATGATGTACTAGCTTTTAATATTGAGCTCCATTGTTGCCTAGGTGATGAAGCTGAAGGAAAAGATAGTCTTAATGAATAAAATTAACAAATATTTTCTGAAAAAGTCAAATGCAATATATGGTAGCGAATAAATGAATAGGAAAGTATGCAGTCACAAATGATTGACTCTAAGACATACTTCGGTAAATGACATGTCATGCAGTGTTTGTATGTAGTTTAACTGAAATGTAAATGGCTACCCACCATTTACCATTCTCACCACCAGAATTTCTCGCCTGAATTTTCCTGCACTATTTTCCTATACTCTTCAATATTTCTGGAAATGAACCCTAATTTTGAAGCCAACAGACAAAATTTTAATCAATTTTTAGTTCTGACTCAAAAAATTTGGCCATTTTCGTTCCAGTCTTCTGAAAGAAAGTGCAGACTATAAATGGGACTATTTTGTAAATTTGTGATGAAAAGACTCACTGCATTCATCAGAACTGCATGTGTGCAATTGGGATCAAAGGCTCACACAATTACAAATTTTAATTTTACATATTCATAGTGAGCTGCTTCTAGAGAGCTTCTAAAAGCTAGCTACTCGTTTATAGACACAGTAACTACAATACTGTGGAATACTTTATTTTCGCTGGAATTAATTTTCGCCGAAAAGGCTTTTGGGGCGTTTTGTATGGAATTTATTTTCACTGATTTTTGATAAATTTAATGTATAATATAGGAAAAAAAGTACATTCACTGGATTTTATTTTCACGGAATCATCCCTTCAGCGAAAATAGCGAAAATAAATTCCAAGCGAAAATAAATTCCAAGCGAAAATAAAGTATTCTACAGTACTTGTTCTATGATAACCATGCAGTTTGAACAATTATGTTATGAATTCCATAGCTTGTGCCATATCAGTAAAAACAGACCAGACAACAGTTTAATAAC